AAATATATTTCCATCTTTATGGTTTAATATCTATAGTTATTTCAGTATCCTGTATTTAAAATGTAATTTCTTTCATAGTAAATACAAAAATGTTCAAACAAACCCTAATCACAGAAAAACTTATCTCTTCAAATTTCTTTTCACTTTGCGCAGGCTCGATATGTTTAAATGTGTACCTTGCCACATAACCGACGTGGTTAGAAGTAGTAGTTGTATGCTTTGATAACATGACGCCATGGAAGAAACCAAATTGTATAAATAAATATTCTGGTCTGGTCACTATAGGATCTAGTAAGTTATGATGGTAAGCTTATAAAAAATGCTTTAAGTTTACTATTACGATAATCATAGGTGAAGGTACGTTTAATTTAAAAAATAAAGGACGAAAACGAGACAAAATTCAGCCCAACCCAGATGATAATACAAAAATTATATTAATATAAGTAGACCTTTAAAAAATTAAAGTAATTTGTAAATCACCTGTATGCACTTAAAAACAGTCCAACAACTTTTAATTGCACATATTTCACTCAAAATATAGATTATCAAGAAACCGCGGTATCTAACTAAAATACTTGTTTTATAAAAAAACTTCTAGTTATGAAAAACCGTTAGGATTTTCCTTTAAGAAATTGTTGTGACTACCAAAGGGAGAAGACGAAAAAAGTTTTAATAATGGTGCATATTAAGAGTATTAAGAGTGCATACCGATGCAATATTTTTTTGGGAAAATATTGCGGGGGGCTAACTTCACGGTAAAGAAATAGCTATAACTACTAAAGGGAGGGGGTGCAACAAGTTTATTTGGTGGTGCATATAAGTGCATCAGGAGTGCATACCGGTGCAATATTTTTTTTGTGAAAAAATCATTGGGGGGGGGGGCCAAATTCACGGTAAAGAAACAGCTATAACTACCGAAGGGAGGGGGTGCAAAAAGTTTAATTGGTGGTGCATATGAGTGCATCAGGAGTGCATACCGGTGCAATATTTTTTTTTGTAAAAAAATCATTGGGGGGGGGGGGGGGGCAAATTCACGGTAAAGAAACAGCTATAACTACCAAAGAGAGGGGATGAAAAAAGTTTTAATGATGGTGCATATTAGTGTAATAGGAGTGCATACAGGTGCAATATTTTTTTGGGAAAATATTGCGTGGGGCTAACTTCACAGCAAAGAAATAGCTATAACTACTAAAGGGAGGGGGTGCAAAAAAATTAATTGGTGGTGCATATGAGTGCATCAGGAGTGCATAACGGTGTAATATTTTTTTTTGTGAAAAACTCATTTGGGGGGGGGCAACTTCACGGTAAAGAAACAGCTATAACTACCGAAGGGAGGGGGTGCAAAAACTTAAATTGGTGGTGCATATGAGTGCATACCGGTGCATTTTTTTTTTTTTTTCATGAAAAAATCATTGGGGGGTGCAACTTCACGGTAATGAAACAGCTATAAGTACTAAAGGGAGGGGGTGCAAAAATTTTAATTGGTGGTGCATATGAGTGCATGACAAGAACTAACTGGTGCATTACAGTAAAACTTAAAATTTTCACGGGGGGGGGGGCTAGCGTTCATTTGGGCCCCCCCCCACAAAGAGATGGCTGTAGTTTCTCAAAGAAGGTGGTGTAAAAAAAATAATTTGTGGTGCATATTGGTGCATTATGGTGCAATAGTTTTTTTTTGAAAAATATCATTGGGGGGGCCAACTTCACGCACCTCATGAAACCGATAGCTTGGATGGTCACGGTAACTTTAATGACGAAAACTTACAAGGTAGATTTAACCATTCGATATTTATGTTCAAAGAATGATGGATATGTTTATTTCCGAAAATCGCAGACGCGATGAAATGTTCATGTCCGCAAGATAATTAATGTATAAGCTGTTTCTTCAGCCTCTCATACTCATCATGTTCTACCAGATTTATCATGTATAATACGATATTTCGACGGTGATAAAGATTTGTATAAAGCCGAAAAATGGATAGTTTAAAAACTAGTAGACGATTAAATCAGTGGTCAGATAATAACTTACTTGAAAGTGCTAGGGCTTATTTAAAGGGACCAGCTACACACTGGTTTGATGTAAAACGCGAATTAATTTTAACTTGGAATGCTTTAAAAAAAAAAGAGGTCGAAAAGACTTATATTAGAACAGAAGGGATTTCAGAAAAATGGGAAAATATGAAAAATAGAAAACAAAACAAAGGGGAAAGTATTATGTCATATTTTTATGAAAAATTGGAACTGTGTAAAAAATTAAATTTACAATTTGATGATTGTAAGGAAGACATTTTAAATGGGTTATTACAAAAAGAAATATCATTAAGCTTAATGGTAAAAATTCACTACGATTTTGATTCATTATTAAGACATTTTAGCTATTGAAAGAATTAAAAATACTAGTAAGCCGGAGCGAAGTATTCAGATTGTAGAAAATCAAAATCTTTTTATAATAATAGTACTTATAGACAAAGAAAATGCTATAAGTGTGGGTTAATGAAACCTACATATGAGCAATGCACACCTAAAAATCCAGTATGTTTTACTTGTAAACAAGAAGGTCATGTTGTGTCTAATTGTCCAAATGAAAATAAACGATTTATTCCTAGAGGACAAACTGCAAACCCTGCAACTTTTAATTAAAATACAGCTTCACGTCAGCATATCCGAATATTAAATGATAGTGCACCTGTCAGCATATCCGAATATTAAATGATAGTGCACCTGCATCTAATGCAAATAATGAACTGTTAGGGGAAAGTAGGGTAAATGTGAAATCTATTGAAAAACAAATTGATATTAATAATCTTGACAAATGCTCTGAAGGCAAGTTTTTGAAAAATGTTTTAATCAATGATTCAATTTTGGTAAAAGTATTTATTGATACTGGTAGCTCTGTATCTACTATAAAAAGTAAAATTGTGGAAAAATTCAAATTGAAAACGGTAGATGTAATACAGCCACTGTATGCTTTTGGTGGTAATTCACAACCAGTCATACAAGCAGAGTTGAAAACAGAAAAGTTGGGACCAATATTTAGGACAAGTTCAATGGAATCTGAACACTGCTATAAACAAGACGACTAGACAAGTTCCGTATAAATTACTATTTAATTGGTTACATACCTAGTTTAGGTGACCCCAAATTAGATGCTCTAACTGAAGTTAATCCCACAACATCTCTAGTTAATTTGAGATAAATTGCCAAAGAAAATATGATTAAAGGACAGCAGAAAATGAAAGAACAATTTGATAAGAAAAGATATATTGGACCTACAGTTACTGGAGAAAGTACAAAATTGCAAAATATATATAAAGGTCCATATGTGTACTGAAAAAAAATGCTAGGAAACGCATATCAGATAGAAAAAACTATGTAGTGAAGATAAAGAACGACAGCAGATTACACCAGCCCATGTTTCCCAAATAAAAGGCTATTACAACTCATATGAAAGTGACGAAGACGTAACTACAGATGAAGAATCTGAATCCATGTTAGTACAAACTAAACTAGACGAAAAAGCCAATGAGAACAATGCTAAAAAGAAAGCGAAATTAGAAGATCTGGACGATGATCAAGCAAGCGAGACGGAAATCGTAGAAAAGAAGAGAGAAAAACGAAGACCTAATAAATTTAAAAACTATATTTGCTATTAAGCGTTCAGCTATTTTTGTGTTCGTACTAAAATTTATTTTTTTCGTTTTTTATAAAAAAAAACTTCTTTTAAGATTGTTAACTTTAAATGCGAGGTCGCATTTTTGTCAGGATCATAGATTAGGGAAAAGTAAGTCGAGATGGACAAATGTTAGAACCTCTATAAAATGTCTAATATTTAATAGTTTAAGTTGGTACTGTACAATGAAATTGACATTTTTATTATTCATTGTTCTGTGTGAAGCCCACTGTGTGGCTAATTCAATAAAACCAATTCTAAAGTAAATCCTGATTTATTTAAATAATCCTGAGTGGATATTTAATCTTTGGGACCTTATTATCAACCCTCGGCCGAGTTTATTACACAATTAAAAGTGATCTTCCTAAAATGGCGCTGGGAAACAGTAACAAGGCCTGCCTGTAGACGTGTAGGATTATAAGAGTTCTAGCACTCTTACACTATGGAGTATTAAAGTACTAGGATTCCACAATCTACGCAGAATCCGAGGCTAATAAAATTTAAAACCAATTATGTTCATGAGTGTAATTTTCACCAAAAACTCCGTAATGCGCATACGTTGTAGTACTGCTCATCGCAGAGCCGTGCCATTTTTGGTTAGGTAACCAGGATCGTGTAGCGTTCCACTGGTGGGGGTTTCAGTAGATACCTACACTGTATGGGTTGTATATTTTTTTATTTGCAACCATATATGTAATGTTGTCATTACTAACGTCATTGAAGGTTGGGAAGTGTCACATTACACACCTCTACTTCCCGCCCTCATTTCATCTATTCTAGATGAATATTTTTTATATTTAAAAAAAATAATAACAGTGTTTGACAAATTGTATAATACCGATTTAATGGCAAACAATAAAAAACAACAATGATCTAAAATATAACAAACTACTTATTGATATTTATTATTCGCGAATTTAATATCCGGCTTTATCTGACATTTATTTATATTGGTGACAGTTGTTTACCCCGTAATCACAGTAACAATATATTTACCTACTTGATTATTCTGAGAAAACCGCGCGCTTGGTAATTTGTCGTTAAATGTAATATTTTAGGTATGTTCAGAACAAAACAGATTTATTAACTTTGATCGAAATATGATGGTTGTAAATAAAATAGTATACAAACCTCGGTAGGAAGTTTCATTCCTGTCTCGAGATCATAGCTAACCTCGACGCTTCGCGTCTCGGTGATCTAACTAATCTCACAACAGGAATGAAACTCTTCCCACCTCGGTGTGTAATATACTATTCCTAACCTCAAAGCTGAAAGTAAAACTGCCAAATCATACAAAGGTTTTAAGAAAACAAAAAATATAACCAATTGATTATTTATTTAAGTTACTGTCTAATGGTTTGATGTAGTGTATAAAATGGTGACATTAGTTCTAATCATGTGTATTTATTTAAAGAAATATAAGTTACTGGTCCAGGATGAGGCGAATAAGTAAAATTGATGTTATTTTGTTTCATTTTCTGGAATTTGTAAGATTCACTGAATATTAAATCAAAAAAGCTCTGTGAACGAGACAAATATAAAAATAAACATATAAAAAGTTAAGTAATACCAGCTGTAATGAGAAGGTACAATAACCAAAATATTTAGATACAAGTACCACCAGTCCTAAATTGAACGCCAGGCGTAGCTGTAAACTCGTGTGGTGAAAATCTGCTAATACTACACAAAAACGTACAACATTTTTCTATATTACATGGATATCTATACAAAAAAAATTCTTCCAACGTCCAAAATCTAAAAAAAAAAATTATTTTCTGCAGTAATGATTTTTTGATATAAAAAAATTACAGATTCTAAAACGAAAAATCAAATATACGACCTATACATCTTACTACTTCAGCAAAATATGTTAATATTAATGGAATATATTTATTAAAAATTAGTTCGATATTATGAAATGATAAATAATAAATACAAATGCATTTTTCTATTTTTTTAGAATATTAAAATAATTCTCTAGAAATCCAATCTGCAATGAAAATTAAATTAATCTAGGAAATAAACACATCAAAGAATGTAAATAACATGGTCCAAAATAATTTAAATAGCTACACATTGATCAAAAAATAATGTCTGTAACAATTCAACTTAATACAAAAGGCTGTTTCCATATTGTATAAAAATTAAAAATACTGAAAGTAATTTAACATTATTTGACAATTACATTTTAAACCTTAATTAGAACCAAATTTAACGACATAAAGTTGCATCGATTTGGGTTAGAGAAGGAGCAATAATTTTTAGCTTCCTCCTATACGTTGCATCCTCAGCTATTGGATTTTTCTCTAGATAAACAGTGGCTAAATTTTTCAATGATGATAAATTTTCAACTGTATTCCAATCTGATACTTCATTGTTGTTTAACTAAGAAAAGAAAATTCAAATATTAATACCAGTTTCCTTTCAATATAATTAAATGGGATAAAATTCATCAAAATAATATCAAATTAGAGTTTATTTTTTAATACAGGAGTTTAAAGGAAATAAATAATAAACAAGCGTTTTTATGGTGCAGTACTGATTCCTGATAGTTTACATACTGACGTCTGTTGTCATATTGTAGTTTGTTGATAGAGATATGCTTAACAAGACATCAATCGAAAATACAAAAATTAAGTTTTGTATAAAACAAAATTTTACATCTATTGATACTGCAATTATATTATGTGTGGCGAACATGTGAGATCCGATTGTCAGAGTTCTATCTTACTTTGCTATATACATTCTAGTTTATTGTCCGTCTCTAACAGGTAATAAAAAAAGAATAGTAGTTTGTGCAACAAGAGTATGGATATGATTGTCATATCGCACGAAGACGAAATTTGAGCACGACGCCGTAGACAGAGTGCTCAATCGTCTGAGTGCGATATAAACAATCCACTCGAGTTGTACAGTATATTTTTTCTACGGCCCACTAATAAAAATCTACAAATATTAAAAATTATTTTAGGTTATTAAGATAAAATAATTTAATTTGTCCCCGTCCTAGATTTGAACCCGAGCTATTCGCATGAAAGGCGACATTTTTTGCTTAAATACTCGTAATTAAATTGACTTCATATAGTTTCATTAAAATTAAGGAATTATTTATAATTAGACTAAATAAAAATAGAAATGCTATTATTTATCGATTCTACCCAAGAATAATTCATTTTAATGTATATTTAATCTCCATAACTAAAAAATCTACTGACAATTAGTATGTCAGAATTATCACTTATTTAAAATTTTAAAAATAATAGGTGGGTGATTAAAATATGAAATGTGATTGGTGGATTTAATTTTTTGCAGTGTTCTTTCCCAGTACCTAGAATGGATATGAAATATATTCGTTCAGTTGAACGCAATAGCATACTTTTTCGTTTTGCAGTTTGTGCATAGATAAGCTAATATCCATGTGGGTGTAGAAAAAGTCAGTTATAACACTGAAGCTACGTTTTCCTAGCTCCGTCAAATGCGAGCGCAAAACACCTGCAGAATACGTTGGGCGATTCACCCAGTGTGGGTTGCATGAATAGTTTTGCAACTTGGCGCAAATCAGTTCGATTTAAAACTTTTTACAGTGCGTTGAGTATTAAAAATCAGGCGCGGCGTCTCCTTAAGGTCATTTAGACAATGACCCCCTTAATTTATTTCTAAAAATTTTAAATATTTAATAAAAAAACTATCTTTACTAAAATGCAATTACATTTTCATGCAAAAACTCCCGAATTATTACCAATGTAGCCAAGATTACTAATGTCTAATAACAATTAATTCCTATCCTGCGCACGCTTAGCCGTATTTAAAAATTGACCTCATGGGCTTCGAGGCAATTCACAAGAATAAATGCATTGCAAGTAAGACAGAGATATAACAGCATATGCCCGCTCTGAAGCTGAAAAGTAACAAGTAATTGTCGACGGCCCTCGACCCAAAGTGCAATATATCTATGACACGTATTCGAAAGCCCTGACGCCTACGAACTTACGCAGCATCATAGTTGAAAATAAAAACCCAAAGTTTTTAATTATCGTTTCGTCTTGTTTCGGTGCACGTATTTTTACTATCTAGATATTATTGCATTTGTGGACTGTGCAATCGTGTAGTGTAGTTATTATATTATCAAACATTTAGCAATGGCTTCTATTGTGAATGTGCAAGAAATACTTCAATATAGTACTTCAATGTAAAATAAGTGACACATTGACTTACGAAAATCGTTCAGAAATAAAATAAAAAGGACGCCCACAAAATCTCTTCTAGATCTAAAGCAAACCACAAAAGACAGGGGGAAAGAAATTGAGAGGTATTTTAAGCCAACTAAGTACGAGGCAAATTCTATAATTTTAAAACTATTCAATGAATGTGTACAATCTTTTCAGGGGTGTTAGTTGGCAACCTTGGGATATGCTCTGATCAGCTGTTTCATCATTTTGTGTCAAAATAACCTCAACATTTTCAATTCATCATGGCAAGTCCACTAGAAGATTGCACCTTAGAAGAACAGCACTCAGTCATTAGATTTAAAGTCGCAGAAGGTGTAAAACCAAGTGAATTTTTTTCTATAATGTTGTATGAACCGTGCGAATTTTTACAAGTGGGTTGATCGGTTTACAAGTGGCAGAACAAGTGTAGCTGACCAACTTTTGGGACTCACAGGGTCCAGTCTATTGCGATTTCCTTGAAGATCAGCGAACTATCAATAGTCAATACTACTCTGAGATGCTAGAACACAAAGTTAGACCAGCTATCAGGAGCAAACGCCGTGGACTTTTGTCAAAAGGAGTCATTCTTCAGCACGATAACGCCCGCCCTCATACAGCCCAGCTGACCCGTGATAAGCTTCAAGAATTGGGTTGGGAGGTCTTACCTCATCCTGCCTACAGTCCCGACCTCACCCCATCTGATTTTTACCTGTTTGGACCACTCAAAGACGCCCTACGTGGAAAAATATTCTTCTTCTATCATTCATATAAACATTGCTATAATTTCGGTAGCCTTGGACACCTTGATATAAGAACTCAATTAAGTAGTCCTTATCGTAATTCTATAGAAGACCATAATATAACACAAAAAAAAGGTACATTTTAAACAAAATTAATGACTGTGTAAAATTCTGCGGTTTATTTGAACTCGTTTTATGGGGGCATGGTGAATCAAGTTATCGGAAAATCCTGGAATCTTTAGTGGATTAATAGATTTTAAAAGTGAAAACTTCTATAGGCACGTTAGGCGTTTTTCGGAAGGGTAAAATCTTCCCAGCTCTCGACATCGACATGCTGATGTTAATAGTATATCTGTAGCTATAAGTATGACGTATGTGCTTGGCCAGCAGTGGAAATATATTGAATGTACATATAATCTACTAGTGCGCGTGCAGTGGCGTGCTTACATAATGCACGAATACATTTAAGATAAATACTGAAAATAATGTCGCGGGTTAAGTTCAATGAAATTCATGTCAATATAAAGATAAATAATGTAACTGTTATGTGAAATAAAAATAATATAAATGTATATTAATCATTATTATGTAAATTTAGTTGTGATTACATTTTGTACCGCACTTGCGCAACCCAATATATATTTTTATTATTGAATAAACTATATTATAATGTATATAACTATTGCTCACTTCAAAAACACTGTTATTTGATAGTTTTAAGTTTTTACTTCTGTGGGCAGTCCTCAACGAGTGCCTCATTTTTTTTTTAACTATAGTGCGAGACATTGAGAATGCAGTGTGAAGTCTTATGAAGCGCGTCGTTGCCTGACGTCGCTATGCTGGAATAGGCCAAAAAAACAGGTCCGGTCTCAGACAAATTTCGACACGGGTTTAAATTTTATCTCAAAATTTGTATGTTCAATAATGAACAATGAATTTCAAAATTACAAATTTATAAATTAACAAGTAATAAACAAATTTTACGCAATAGATAAGTCATCGTCGCCAAAATTTAGTCTTATAATGAGTTTATCAACGTTGTCTTGGATATTATCAGCAACACATATTTCTTTTCCGTTTTTTTTTTCTCTGACATGTGCAACGCATTTACGCCAATTTTGTTCAGTGACATGTTCAAATGCTTCATCTATCAATGATCCAACATCTTGTGTCTTGAAATCAAAATTGTTCACAGCAATATAGCGCTTTACTTGATTCCATACCATCTCGATCGGGTTAATCTGGCAATGATACGGTGCTAAGCGTAAAACAGTTACCCTTTATATTGCAACTATTTCTTTAATCTTAATTTGTCGCATTGCTCTCTGTATGCGTTGGCAACTTCAAGTAGTTCAGATTATAAATAGGAGTCTTCAAAGAAAATGTTTTTTTCAAACACCAATTTTTTATTTCGGCATTGTTCCATGAGCTGGAAAACTAAATTTATGGGAATGATACGAAGGGTAAATTAGGAATCAGCGACTCCTCAAACCATTGCTCAAAATAGTCGGCGTTCGTTTCGTCATGATAATCGCCATCGTTTTTCTTTGCCAAGAAAAGACGAGCGCCGCCAGGTAAAAATCCACCTTTCTATTCTGCATGAACAATAACGAAACGTGGACCACTTTGAGGCCTGTGGTTAAACCCTTTATAAAAGCATCTCGACGATTTTTTATGGTTGACCAAAGTCTCATCTAAAAAGATAACGTTTCAATTTTATTGGCGATATTGTTTGATGGCTCTTAAATAAATATGCCACCAATGAATGATGTCGTTTCGTTCTAACGTTATACTTTTACGACCACGCTTCACACATTCAAAACTAATATATTTCATTAGTCTATATCTTGAAGAAAACGATTGTGAGTTCTCATTCCCTCGAATAATATTATAAATTTCAATCAAAGTAGGCGGAATGTTAAATTCATGGGCTTTAAATAGGCGTATAAAATATGAATTCTTAGGCTAGCGCCACATTGGGCAGAAGTTCAGTCGCCGAAAATGAGCCGCAGATCTTTGCGTAGTAAATTCAAATGCTAGGCGTTTCAACAGATCTTCAGCTCAATGTAGCGAGTTAACAAATTGCTCGTAAGAGATTATAGGATTTGTCTGAAGCAGACGTTCTGATGGCTGCCTAATGTGGTGGGCGCTAGCCTTACAAATTTAAAAAAGAATATATTTCACTTGGATTTTTTGGTTTTTGTGGGTCGCTTCCTTTCTGTAAAATAAATTTTAGCACCAGACGGCCCATTTGTTTTTCTGATATATATATATATATATATATATATATATATATATATATATATATATATATATAAAAAAGGAGATAGTTTTTTCGACCGGAAAATATTTATTTTTAAGTGAAGATAATATCAGGTTAGCGGTCCTAAGAAATAAAACTCTTTTCCTTACTTGCTCAATATTTCGCCATTGTTTAATAGCTTCATCAGGAGCGAACTACAAGATTTTTAAATGAAACAATGCACTAATAAAATAATTTAAAATTACTACTTACAGGATTTGAGTCAATCGAATAAAATTTTAAATAAAAACAACATTACACTTAAACAAACTTTCGGACAGTGGACACTAAAAATTTAACAGGTTGATAAAATTAAAAATAAAAAGTGTAGACTAGAAATAATTATAGTGAGATAAAACTAAATGATTTTTAATATTGTACAGAGTGATACTTAAATTTTATTTAGAATATTACAATAAATGTTGCTTAGTTGGTTTATGTCAGATTTATAATTAATAGTGTTTTTAGTTTTATTAATGTAGTACATTTAGGAAAAGAAAACAAATACAAGAATAGGTTATTTCTGGAAATGTACTACATTAATAAAACTAAAAACACTATTAATTATAAATCTGACATAAACCAACTAAGCAACATTTATTGTAATATTCTAAATAAAATTTAAGTATCACTCTGTACAATATTAAAAATCATTTAGTTTTATCTCACTATAATTATTTCTAGTCTACACTTTTTATTTTTAATTTTATCAACCTGTTAAATTTTTAGTGTCCACTGTCCGAAAGTTTGTTTAAGTGTAATGTTGTTTTTATTTAAAATTTTATTCGATTGACTCAAATCCTGTAAGTAGTAATTTTAAATTATTTTATTAGTGCATTGTTTCATTTAAAAATCTTGTAGTTCGCTCCTGATGAAGCTATTAAACAATGGCGAAATATTGAGCAAGTAAGGAAAAGAGTTTTATTTCTTAGGACCGCTAACCTGATATTATCTTCACTTAAAAATATATATATATATATATATATATATATTTCAGCATTTCTTCAAAATTTGTTTTTCAGAAAAGCCTGGCCATACTGCATTCTCAGTGTATCCCGAACTATAGTGAAGGTACTTACACTTTGTATTAGCACCTGGCCTAACTCTATCAATGTATTAACCTCTATTTATTTTAAAACAACTAGGGAACACTATTGTGTAAGTATGATTTACACTTTACCGATTTTTTTGTGAATTCTACAAGTTGTTAATAATATATTAACTAACAATGTATTAAAAAAATCTTACCCAAAATTCTTGTAGCAATTCCAAATGGGAGACATTACCAATCAGTTTGATTTTATTTTGTGCTAAATCCAGTGTCTCCAATTTTTTATTTTCTTCCAAATTTTGAATAATTTCAATACCATTTTCTGACAAATACAACTCATTTAGCTCTTTCAGGTTATTCATATTTTCTATGGTTGCCAATCTATTACTCTGAAGACTTAAGCAAGTTAAATTAACCAATGTATCTAAGTTTTTGATTTTAGTTATTTTATTTTTACCCAAGTACAGATATTGTAGTGTTGACAGACCATCTAAATTTTCTATTTCCTAAAAAGTTAACAGTCATGTTTACACACTAAAGAAATACATAAAATAAGTTAATACAAAAGTAGTGTGAATAACAAGTCATAATTGTGGGACTGGAGGGAATTTAAATAGCACTGTGTCTAGGATTACGGCACCATTCAAAGCTCACTTGTAGTATTACTTACTGTGACCTAACCAAAGCTTTTAACTGTGTCTTATTTGAACAGTTGTATTGTTATGGAGTTAGAGGTAACGCATTGGATTTATTTAAAATCTTTTTTAAAAAATCGTAGTCAATCTTTTTTTTTTAAGGCAACCTCTCAAATCCAGAATCAATTAATATAGGAGTCCCACAAGGGTAGGTTTTTAATTTCATTTCTGCTGATCATGCGCGGTTTTACGCTCTAGCGAATATTTAAGAGGGAGTCAACGCTCAGATTGAAGCATGGAGTTATAAGGTAGGGAGATGCTATAAGCATCTTTTTCAAACATTCAGAACGGTATCACTAGGCGTGGCTTACCACTACTCAATATGGCCGATCCGCCAGGTACGAACTAGTTTGAATGCAATCCAAACCTAGTTTTTCTTTTTTTTTAAGGAAATGTGAGTTATATTTAATAAAAAATTAAAACGGATGATTAAGGTTATAATAACTAATTTTCAGTAATTCCACTTAATAACAAAATAAGTTTTATGATATAAAAATAAAATATACCTATACCATTTTAACCGAAAATACCTGTCAGTCAGAGCCCTCGATATCACTAATTTTTTTTATGTTTACAGCCATTATATTTTAAAATTTTATTACGTATTGTCTTTATTTCTTACTTTCAACTGCTAATAATAATGGCACAATTCGTATTTATTTGACAGCTAAATACATGGCGTCCACGAGCATAAATTTAACTTTCTTTTTAATCTTATTAGCTAAAGGTAGTGCCATTAACTTGTTGGTTACATTCTAGCCGAATCTTACCAACCTATAACTTTAAATTTACATCAGTATCTGAGCTAGACTGGAGGGTTGTAAAATTCCTCGGTACAAGGTTTTTTACAACGTTACATGGCCCGAACGAAGTTGACGCCTAACTGGTAACATATTTGGCGCCCAACGTGGATTGCTTAAAGCGGGTCGTTTTGCGAGCGGCTATATTGCCTCGCAACTGCTCATTAATCAGTTCAGCCAAAATGTGTTTTAAAACCAATTTTCTGCTTTTGAATATAGTAAAAAAAATTAATTGCCTACAGTTTTACTACAAGGCATAAACTTATAGTCTAAGATCCATCTGTTTAATGGATGAAAGTTTCGTTTTATTAAATAAAATGTTTATAAATATACCGTAAATGGGTTGCCTAAGAAAATACGGTCCAGACTATTTATTTTCTTAAAGAAAAAAAACGACACCCTGTAAAGTATTCCCCAAATGCTTCGACTATGCCCAAACTTATTTCTGCTCACCGCAGATGGGATTAAAGCTTGAGTTTAAAATTTGGTGTTTTTTTTGAGTTATCTTCAAAATTCGAAATTTGCACTTTTCCTCAAATATCTCGAATTAGCTCAATTTTATGGAAATCATGTATAGGAACAAAATAATAGAGAATGACATCATAATCAACTTTTATCATGATTCCTATACTTTCGTTATCTATACACAGAAAGGAAAGTAAAAAATGGTCGTGACTGTATTTTCTTAGGCAACCCTTTTGTGGTATAATTGAAAACACATTTTATTTAATTAAAAAAATTTTTATCCATTAAACAGATGGGTGAAGATCGACCTTATTTACGGATCCTGGACTATTATAGGCATATTTCTTTATAAGATTACTACAAAAAGTGGTTACAGAATCATAAGTGTTCTGTGATTGTGATTACTGTGGTGACGTCACACATACCGTGGTAACTCTATTATTGATTGTTATATGTCAAATTTAATTTAGGTTTTGGGACTTCTAAGCGAAATTAGAATTTTAGAAATTTTAAATTTATTATAGTATGTTCTAGTAAGCTTATAAATAAATGCCTCGTTAGATGTAGCTACATATACTTTGGTAACATATGACGTCATCAGAGTAACCAAACCTTATAAAGAATTGCTCTGGTTACATAAGTATGTTCTGGTAAGCTTATAGGGACCGTGCGTCATGACTTTAACGCTAACTGGTGACAAAAATGTGAACTTTATGGGGGGTATTTATTAATGTTTTATACGGCATTTATTGTTTAATAATTATTAATTAAATAAAGTCGAATTATTTTCGTAATATCATTATCGAAAAAACTTGTTGCATCCGTGGATGTACAAACACATCACTTTGGAAATCTGGATTTCATTCGATAGTAAAGAAATTTTATAAATTTCCACAGAGCACAACAATTAATGTCTCACACCCAATGATATACATAATTACAAAGATTGCTTATCCATATGTAAATCAGACGACAAACAGCGTATTTCACTGGGCAAAGTTTTCTTTTTATCTAGCTTGTATCAATTTTGAGCACTTAGTTGTAAAGAAATCATTTACAGAACCGGTTTAGAAATTAGAATCTTTAGTGTTTTCTTGTCATTAAGATTTTTACATATTTAAATGAACATTTCATATAAATATAATTTTACAGATAATTAATGGTTTATTCTGTTGATTAAAACTAATATAGAATGTTTATTATTAAATAAGAATGTCCAATTTGACAAAAATATCATGGCCCTCTTTACAATTTATTAACTATTTCTCATTTATTATTAAAATAAAGAAATCATAAATAATACATTGCAATTACTGTCAAAAGAGATTGCAACAAACTTTAAAATATTAAAAATCCAGTGATTTTTTGTAATTTTTTTTTAGTGACATTACCATTAAACATTATTTAGAATAATAGATAAGTGTTCAATTACAACTCTTACCAAAGTTGTTTATACCTCATCTCAAAGTTGTTTACATTACCTTTTCAAAATTGTATTACATATTGCAATTATGTATTTTATGTAGTTTTATTTCTGAAATGAGAGTAGTCTAATAGTTATTTATGCAACAAGTGCAAAAAGTAAGTGTTTATTGGACGCGTCGAGTGCAATAAACACTTTTTGCACGAGTTGCATGCAATATTTTTTCTACGTTAATGCAAAAACCAAAAAATGTTTTATAGGACTGCAGTTGTATTATCCAAATCATAGTAGCCGTGATCGTGTACCTTTGTTTGAGGCATTTATTTACGTTTGTGTTCATAATTTGTAATGACATTTTTAATAAAATACATTTTATTAATTTATTTATTAAATGATTGAAAATACACAGTGTCTAGGTACACGCTAACTTGTACGCAATTCAAAAATTTGCATACACGCGAAACGTCTTGACAGAGTAGGTAGGTGAGCTGTGTGCAGACCGTTGGTGTTTACGCCGGTCGTAGCTAGGAATGGATTGAAATTTTTTTGTGGCGGCGAAGCCGCCATCCTACGAGAGGTCGTTACTTCGTTTTCTTGTTGTCACGGCATTATTTATTATTTGTTCATGCATGTGAAATTTGCTTCTAAGTTTTATAAAGTGCTAGTCACGGCGTAAATGAAAACAAGTAAGACGCATTCACACAAACACCTCCCACCACAGCAATATGACGTTTCGCGTGTATATAATTTTTTGATTTGTGTACACTTTAGCGTGTACCTAGCAACAGCGTTGAAAATAATATAAAATATGCAATTGTTTTTAAAACGTAACACAGAAAATTAAAATGGACTAAATATTTGGCGTTGATTTGAATATTTATGTTTGTCATGATCATAAAACGCTGTAGTAAAATGACAGATGAGTGCAATAAAATTTTTATTGCACTAGTGCAATAAAGACCCAGTTTTTTCACTAAATATAGTTCAATAAAGTTTGGTTTTTTGCATGAACGTAGAAAAAATTATTTATATCAATCTGTTATAAAAAATGTTTAGATCTCTTAATATTATTTAACTACATGGAAACTCAACTTTCCAAATACATAATAACATGTCTTGAAGTAAAACTTTAATTATTTTCTTTCTCTTAAGATTAAAATGCTGAAATTTTATTTTAAAACACATTTGGGCTAGAACGGTTCTATTTAGTGAGCACTAGGAAAGGCACATTGCAACCCGCTTTTCATAATTTTTTTATAGATGGGTGAGCAATCTATAATATGTATCATTGGACATCTCATAAACGTCAGTAGATGAATGACATTTCGACTAACATAACGCTAAAAAGATTTATTATTATTATTATCAATCTTTTTTATTAATTTACATTTTTTAAATGTTATTGTAATACTTTTAAATTCAGTGTTATTAAATACCGATATTTTGACATTGGATACACTTGTTTAAGGTACAACTTTACAATTTATTGTGACTTAGCCATTTAAATCTTTTTGCTTAAAATGTATATACATGTCCAGATTTTAATAATGTTTCACATTTTACGTCATTTTGACCATGTACACGATTGTTTGGTACGGGCCGGTATCTATTTTTAACTATATTTAATATTTTAAAAAATATCCTTTATTATTTACTTGCAATGTTGACCCCATTTAATTATAAAATTAAACACTAGAGAGGGCTAAATTCGGCAGTAGTGCTGCCTCTATATTTCACGCACTGTCCCTATAAAGAAATGCCTTGTTTATTTTGAAAAACTGTAAGGGGTTTTCTCGCCACAGAGACAACGATTCCTTACGAATGACGCTGGTTACGGGCGGTTCTCGAGCGCTAGATTTTTGATGATGGTTTACTCCACGAACTTTCGAAACGGCGTCGAAAGTACTCGGGTAGCTACAAATGGAGATGAAAAATTCCAGGGGTCAAAGGTCACTTAGACACAGGTAATAGTAGGCCACAAGTAACGGGCTTTAATCGTTGCTTGGGCTGGTACAGAATTAATCACTAGCTGAAATATAAGGGGGAAATAAATTTAGGAATTAACAACCAGTAATACGGCCAGTTAACATATATTGTTTTAAAATATTTACAAACGAAAAGGA